TCCGTGGCTGATGCTCCCAGCTGCCCTGGGTGCTGGCTCAGCAGTGTCTCTACGCCATGATGTAAGGCAGAGGCAACCAGAGTAGCTGGGGCTCAGGTTTCAGGGAACCAGGCCAAAGGCACAGACCCTACAGCCAAGGGGAATCCTGGTGCTGAGAGAAAGGAGGAGAAGCCACATGAACTTCCTAACCCTGATCAAGGACCAGGCTGATTACCACAAATGTTTTTTCCTGAAACTCCAGACCAAGCCACCAATCTAAAGAAGGGTGTGTTGGCCCACAAGGCTCACCTGAGAAGCAAGGGCCAGGAATCCTAACCTGAAGGTCGCTGACCCCCAGGCCCCTTGAGCTCTGGCCCCTTTACTCCATCAGGCACCTCCCTAGGTTTCCACCTTTCTACTTTAGTTTCTTTGATCTTAAATTGCATTTATCATTATTTATTTTAATTGTGCCATTTGTCCTTATAAATTTAATTCTTGTTTTCTGAGACAGAGTGGCACTGTGCAGGCTGGAGCAGGGGGCCCAATAAGAGAGAGCAGAAATGAGGCACAGACCCATCCCACATGGGCACCTCACTGACGGCAGATGGGGCACTGGAGAGCCTAAGTGGCATGGTGGCCTTTCCAGTCAAGCCTTCTGGTCACTGAAACTCCACAAGGCCAATCGTGAACTGGACCTCACTCAGCACCACAACTGACATCACTGCCTAGGAGACCTCCGTGGGGAAGGCAGGGCGATCCATGGGACATGTCCCTTTGTTTGGCTCCTGCCCAGCACTGTGTTCTCATGGTCTTTGTTTCATGGTCAAAACCTCTTATTTGCATGAGTTTGAGCCTCTGTATACTTTCACATAAAAGATCACACCCTAATTGTTTTTTCTGTCTTGAAATTTTAAATCATTTCCACTTTTTTGTTCTTCAGTGTGACTTTTAATTCATTTTCATACTCTATGGTGATAAAAGTCAAAATAGTGATTATCTCTATTGGGAAGAGGCAGGAAGTAAAACAAATTTGTAAATTATACCATATTATAGAGGGTGATCAGTGGTGTGGGAAAGAACAGCGTGAAGAGGATTGACTGCCCACCAGGCTGTGGGGAGGGTGGCTACAGGGGGAAGTCGAGTGAGAAGATGAGACCTGGGCAGGCTCGGAGATGAGGGAGGTGGCCAGGAGCTACATTTGAGAGGGTAATCAAGGCAGGGAGAACAGACTTTTCAAAAGCATTAATTCATCAGAAAACCTGGAATGTTGAGGTTGCAGCCAAAAGGCCAGTGTGGTCAGCATGGAGTGAGCAAGAGTGAGCATAGCAGAAGAGGTACAGAGGCAATGTGGGTTCATAGATGAGAATGTGGGGCCTTTCTGGCCATTATAAGGACCTCCAGCTTATATTCTGAATGAGAATAAAGCCAGTGAAGGGAACGGAACAGGGGAGACATATCTGGCTTACATTTTGAAAGGAAGGCTCACTGTAGCCACTATAGCTGCTGGGTGCTGGCAGGTGAGAGACTCCATCACCATCACTCCAGGACCATGGCCACCATCCCCGGCAGCAGCACCTGCCTCTCTCCAGCCCACAGCGGGCAGAGCTCTCTAGGTTCTGTCATGGCAGACTCTGTTCTCACATATGGGGGAAAAGGACCAGCTCTGCCTTGCCACTGGCTTCAAAGATCCCCTTAAAAAAGAGCTGCTTGTATGTTTTTGAGATTGATTCAATTGGAAAGGAGAAATTAAAACATGCCAAAATATATGAAGCTCAGGCTGTGAAAAAACTGGGCATCAGGCCAGGGAGGATCAGCAGTGATCTCTGGGAGCTGAGACATGGAAGAGATGAGCTGTGCAGCTGCCCCATCTTGCTGTCTACACAGACTGCCCAGGCCATGGCCAGTCGGCCCCCTGGGTGTCGAGGGGGAATCACAGAGCAGAGGCTGTCAGAGCTGGTAGATGATGGACCAGAGAGAAGAGGGTGGCAGAGGGAAGGGAGAACCCTGCACATGGGCAGAGAGTCCACTGGAGCCATAGTAGAAACTCTTCATTCAGGTGACATCATATACAGGACTCAGAGGGATCTTGTCTCAAACTCCCACTGATCAAACCTTAAGGCAAGACTCAACAGGATCAAAGTGTTTCTAAGTAAGTAAACAACATTACATTTTTTAAAGTTGTGGAATATACCTAGGGAAGAATATACCTAGCACCCAAGGAAAAGAGTATGCCCAGAATCAGAAATATCCAAACCATTATGAGGAAAGAAATCAATGGATAAAAGGCATCTCAATTGGAAAGGAAAAAGTAAAAGTATCTGCAGACAACATAATTGTTTATACAGATAATCATATGGAATCTACAAAATATTGACAAGAACTAATCAGTGAATTTAGCAAGATTGTAGGATAAAAGATATATTAAGAGACAGCTAACTCCCCATGCCCAATCTCTCAACTAATTGTCCTAGCACTTTTCTTCACTGGTTTGAAACAAGTCCAGTCAGCCACAAAATTCTTATTTTAGGGTGCCTAGTTTTTTTTTCCTTTCCTTATACAAACTAAGTTTTTTTATTTTAGTAGGAAACCAAGCCAACTGTGACAAGGATGTTGGGAAACCAAAAATCTGTAGCAGGTATATTTTCTGAAGAGAAATTGTGATCAAGAGTCTTTAAAAATGAGAGAGAGAGAGTCTGTTTCCTCTCTTTTGTTTTGCTGCATCTCATGGCTTGTAGCATCGTAGTTCCCTGCCATGGGACCAAACCATGCCTCCTGGAGTGGAAGCCTAGAGTCCTGACCACTGGACCACCAGGGAATTCCCTGTGATCAAGAGTCTTAAAAAAGAAATAGAGAAGTAAACATTTAGGTCAATATTTCTAATTTTTGGAATATATTAATACTTTAAGGAAAGAACCATTAATGGAAAGAATTATATACATGAATTGCACTGAACCATAAACCACGTTAATGAAAAAATTGGAAACAACTTAAATGTTCACTGATTACATTATTTTGTTATTTTTATTTTTACTTAAAGACCCAATTTTAATTTTTTGGCCATGCCACATGGCATGTGTGATCTTAGTTCCACTACCAGGAATTGAGCCTGCAGCCCTTGCACTGGAAGTGGAAAGTCTTAACCACTGGACTGCTTGGGAAGTCCCCAATAATTACATTATGATGCATCTTATTTCTATTCAATAACACATTTTTGAAGAGGTTTTAGAAAGTGGAAAAGCTAGTATATTAAATGAAAAAAATTCAGGAAAATAGTTAATGCTAAACTTGATAAGATGAAAAGAGGCAATGACAGAGAATGAGATGGTTGGATGGCATCACCGACTCAATGGACATCAGTGTGAGCAGGCTCACGGAGGTGGTGATGGACGGGGAGGCTTGGCGTGCCGCAGTCCATGGGGTCCCAAAGAGTTGGACAGGACTGAGCGACTGAACTGAACGCTACATTCTGTTATAAATTTAATGTGCAAGTAGAACTAGAAAATATTCTTTAATTTGACAGCATTTAGTGCTGAACATAGGGCTCGATTTTCATTTTCTTAAATTGTTTTCAATTACCTTGTCCTACTGGAATATCTGAATTTCAAAACCTTCCCTCTAACACTAGTACAAAAATCTAGTTTTTTTTTTTTAATCCAGAAGCACATTAGCTGAAAAGAACCTGAGACACAAAATAGTAGCTTAGATTTATTTTCTGCTGAATAAACACTGAAACATCCCACTCCTCAAGCAGCAGGGAAACAAAGCAAGTGACCGAAGAGATACCGAAGGCCAGTACAGGCAAAAACATAGACTCACATAACAAAGTGGCGATTACTCGATAACAAAGTGGCATAGTTTGAATTCCGTATGCCTTGCCGAGTAGGGGACACAAGGTTAGGCCTCAGCCCCTTTCCTCAGCCTAGGCTTTGGGGAGGTGGGAGCCCATGGCGCTGAGTGATCCGAATCACCAGGGACAGCTGATCGAGGAATGGGTTGATGGAAAGTCGGATGAAAGCAAGGTCTTCAGCAGTCCACCTACTAAAAGCGGAGAATATAAGGTTATTGGGGAGATCGTTCCTGTAGGTCCAGGGTACCAGCCCCCCTCCTTAGAACAAGCCCCTCAGTGTCTCCATCACAGCACTCTTAAGAGGGAACTCAGACCACAGCACCCGTTGCCCCCCACTCCCCAAGGCAAACTCTTCTAGAACTGACACAATTAGGTCACTGCCATTCACTGCAAATTCCTTCCGAATCAATCCTTGGTGGCGTTGGACATCTGGGAGCAGAGATCTGCGAGCCATGTCTGCCTCCAGGGGCGATTGGAAAGGCACTCTGAGTGTGCTGGGAGAGACACGGTTAAGGCACCATCCATTACTGAATTTTCTGGTATCTCGGGCTTCCTCACACCTAAGAGGCCCGTTTTTACCCCAGGATGCCCATGCTCCCGACCACAACCTGTGACCACCCTGAGCTGCCTCCCTAACCCTTCGGTCCATCTTCCCCACCCTCCAGGCTCCTCGGGCCTTGACAACTCCCCTTCCGGCCAGGGTGCCCAATCCTGCTGCTCCGGGTTGCCCACATGCTCCCTTCTATCCCTTCGTCAGGCTGCCGGCAAGTTTCCCACCACCATACCACTGACCGTGCCCAGGGAGGCTCCATGAAAAGGATACAGCACCACTTGTCCACGTCTAGGCCTTATAGCCAAGGGCGCTACATCTCCAGCAGGTCCTAGGCCACCTGGTGCCCGCTCACCCCGGAGGAGAGCTACAGCAGCTTCCATGGCCGCTCTTCCTCTGCCAAGCCCACCCCGGCCTTCTGGGGCCCGGTGACCATCCTCACCTTCAGCCCTGCCTGAACCACCCTGGGAAGCAGGTGTTCTGGAGCTATGCTGGTCATCTCGGCCCTCTGCACCACCTGCGCCACCACCCGACGCCTGCATGGCTGCCGCGCGTCTCCCTCAGACGGAAAATAAGGGGCGGAGAGATTGGGCCCCTCACGAAGTCCCTCCCCTTCTGCGTAAGGACGCCAAAAGTGCGTCTGGAGACTCCCCTCAGGGTGCCGTCTCGCACCGGATTGGTTACCGCCCAGCCTGCCCGGCCACCCATGGGCGGCTATGGAGACCCCGTGGGGATGGAGGGACTCAGCTCCCTCACAAAGTCGTGCTCCTTTCAGGTGCCCCTGATGCGCCTGCGCACACGGGCCGCTCCAGTGCTGGCCCAGACAGCATGGAATGGAAGCCGCCAAGTGTCCACAGAGACACCAGTAACAGCTTTTCAGTCTGAAGTCCTACAGCTGGTTCCACAGTGCAGTTTTGATTTCTCCAACGTATGCCACAGAAGGGTCTCACTAGAGTAAGGTGGAATTAGAGGGCGAGGGGCCAAGCCACACGACCCACCAGCGTCCCCTCTCTGCCCACTCCACATCATACCTGTGCTCTTTGACCATAGTGATAGCTAGCACTTCCTACGGTCCATGAGCTAGTTCAGGTGCTTTCATGTGTTCGTCCATCACATCAGTTTTCAGACAGTATTGCCATGTCAGTACCCTGTCTCCCATGATGCAGGTCTCCTCCAAACAAATCACAAACACCCACTCTCTCACCGACACCAGCCTCTCAAAGTCTTGAGCATTTTGGTTTCTGCATTTCTCAAAACTGTGATGACAGCAGTGCTTCATCAGGCACTGAACTTGAGTTGGGTCTGAATGGTGAGATCTGCAAAGGATAATGGTAATGACAATGACGAATAATGTGTGTGACTCAGACAGTGACAGAACTATGAAGGAAAGCGAGCGTATGATAGAATGAGTTTCACAGAGAGTTTACCGCTGTGACAGGTGAATGCTTTTGAGTGAGTGTAAGAGAGTGAATGCGTGATTGGGACAGGAGTTTAAAAGGACAGCATGTGACACAAAAGACTTAGATGCAAAATCCATGACAGAGGGGGTGTGTGGCAGAGTGTCAGAGATACAGTCTAAGATAAGGTGTGAGAGAGAATAAGTGTGATGGAAAAAGCATTATAGAGTGACACGGGAATATTACAGAAAGAGTGAATGTGCCAGATAATCTGAATAACTATGAGAAAGTAAATGTGAGACAATATGTGTGAAAGAAAATGGGTCTGTCACACATATCAGAGGGTGACAGGGAATGAACCTGACAGTGGGAGGCAGCAGCCTGGGAAAGTGGGAAACTTCCAGATGTCCAAGCTGAGTTTAGAAAAGGAAGATGAACTAGAGGTCAAATTAGCAACTTTCTATGGAATATAGAGAAAGCAAGGGAATTTCTGAAAAACATCTGCCTCAGTTTCCTCAACTCTGCTAAAGCCTTTGACTGTGTAGATCAAGACAAACTGTGGAAAGCTCTTAGAGCGATGGGAATAGCAGACCATCCTGCCTGTCTCCTGAGAATCCTGTGTGCAGGTCAAAAAGCAACTGTTATAACCCTGTATGGAAAAGCTGACTGGTCAGGATTGAGAAAGGAGTATGACAGGGCTGTCTGCTGTCACCCTGTTTGTTTAATCTATATGCTGAGCACATCACGAGAAATTCCAGGCTGGAAAAGTTACAAGCCAGGATCAAGATAGCTGGGAGAAACATCAACAACCTCAGATACATGGATGATACCACTCTAATGGCAGAAAGCAAAGACGAAATAAAGAGCCTCGTGATGAGGGTGAATGTGGACAGTGAAAGAGTTGGCTTAAGACTAAATATTAAAAAAGTAAGATCATGGCATCTGGCCCCATTACTACATGGCAAATAGAAGGGGAAAAAGTGGAGGTAGTGACAGATTTCCTCTTCTTGGTCTCCAAAATCACCCTGGATGGTGACTGCAGCCATGAAATCAGAAGACAGTCACTTCCTAGCAGGAAAACAGTGACAAATCTAGACGGGCTATTGAAAAGCAGAGAAATCACTCTGCCAACAAAGGTCCATATACTCAAGGCTATGGGAAAGACTAGGGATGTCTTCAAAAAATTAGAGATACCAAGGGAACCTTTCATGCAAAATGGGCACAATAAAGGACAAAAGTGGTATGAACCTAACAGAAGCAGACAATATTAATAAGAGGTGGCAAGAATACACAGAAGAACTATACAAAAAAGATCTTCATGACCCAGATAATCACGATGGTGTGATCACTCACCTAAAGGCAGACATCCTGGAATGCGAAGTCAACTGGGCCTTAGGAAGCATCACTACGAACAAAGCTAGTGGAGGTCATGGAATTCCAGAAGAGCTATTTCAAATCCTAAGAGACAATGCTGTGAAACTGCTGCACTCAACATGCCAGCAAATGTGGAAAACTCAGCAGTGGCCACAGGACTGGAAAATGTCAGTTTTTGTTCCAATCCCTAAGAAAGCCAATGCCAAAGAATGCTCAAACTACTGCACAATTGCACTCATCTTACACACTAGCAAAGTAATGCTTAAAATTCTCCAAGCCAGGCTTCAACAGTATGTGAACCATGAACTTCCAGATGTTCAAGCTGCATTTAGAAAAGGCAGAGGGACCAGAAATCAAATCGCCAACATCCATTGGATCATCGAAAAAGCAAGAGAGTTCAAGAAAAACATCTATTTCTGTTTTATTCACTATGCCAAAGCCTTTGACTCTGTGGATCACAGCAAACTGTGGAAAATTCTGAAAGAGATGAGAATACCAGACCACCTGACCTGCCTCCTGAGAAATATGTATGCTGGTCAAGAAGCAACGGTTAGAACTGGACATGGAACAACAGACTGGTTCCGAATTGGGAAAGCAGTACGTCAAGGCTGTATATTGTCACCCTGCCTGTTTAACTTATATGCAGAGTACATCCTGCGAAATGCTGGGCTGGATGAAGCACAAGCTGGAATCACGATTGCTGGGAGAAATACCAGTAACCTCAGATATGCAGATGACACCACACTTATGACAGAAAGAAAAGGGGAACTTTAGCTGAGCACTGAAGAATTGATGCTTTTGAACTGTGGTGTTGGAGAAGACTCTTGAGAGTCCCTTGGACAGCCAGGAGATACCAAAGGATATCAGTCCTGAATATTCATTGGAAGGACTGATGCTGAACCTGAAACTCCAATACTTTGGCCACCTGATATGAAGAACTGACTCATTTGAAAAGACCCTTATGCTGGAAAAGATTGAAGGCAGGAGGGAAAGTGTACGACAGAGGATGAGATGGTTGGATAGCATCACTGACTCAATAGACATGTTCAAGTAGGCTCCGGGAGTTGGTGATGGACAGGGAAGCCTGGCATGCTGCAGTCCGTGGGGTCGCAAAGTGTCAGACACGACTGAGTGACTGAACTGAACTCATGGTCTTCCCAGTAATCATGAACGGTTGTGAGAGCTGGACCATAAAGACGTCAGAGCACCAAAGAATTAATGCCATCAGAGGGTAGTGCTGGAGAAGACTCCAGAAGTTCCCCTGGACAGCAAGGAGATGAAACCAGTCAATCTTATGGGAAATCAACCATGAATATTCACTGGAAGGGTAGATGCTAAAGCTGAAGCTCCAAAATTTTGGTCATCTGATGCAAAGACAGAATTCATTGGAAAAGAAGGAGAAAAGGGTGTCAGAGGATGAGATGGCTGGACAGCATCACAGATGTAATGAGCATGAACTTGGGCAAACTCTGGGAGATGGTGAGGGACAGGGAGGCCTGGCATGTTCCAGTCCATGGGGTCGCAAAGAGTCGGATGTGACTGGGAGACTGAACAACAACAGCAGCTGCCGAAGCCACATTCTTCCCAATCAGTTTAGCAGAAATAAAGCTGATATTTAGGTTGAAGCACATGTCAAAGTAGATGTGTCAAAGGCTGCAGATGCTAAGCTGGACATGTTTGAAGGATTGGAGAAGAATATGCAGCAGGCGTGAGTGGATGACGTCAGTGAACTCCTTGTAGGGAAATGATTCAGGTGGTCCAATTTGTAAAGCCACACACTTTCTTTTGGGCTTTCCTGGTGGTGCTAATGGTAAAGAAGCCACCTGCCAATGCAAGAGACACAACAGACACAGGTTCAACCCCTGAGTGAACACACTGAAGGTTTATTTTTTCCCATTTGGATATTCCACAACCATTCATTTAACAAAAGACTATCCTCCCTCCACTGAATTATCTATACTCCTCTGCCAAATATCCACTGACCACATACACATGTCAGGAAATGCTTCTGGACTGTCAGTCCTGTCCCATGGATCCACAGCTCCAGTACTGGACATGTAGAGTAAGTTATGAAATTAGGCTGTGTTAGTCTTTTCACTCTGTGCATAGTCACAATTCTTCAGGCTGTCATCGGGTTTCTGTTCTCACATAAATTTCAATATCAGCTCATCAGGGGTTTCTCTGGTTGTCCAGTGATTGAGACTCTACCTGCCAAAGTGGGGAACATGGGTTTGATCCCTACTCCAGGAAGAGCCCACAAGGTGCAAGGCTACTAAGCCCAAGCACCACAACCGCTGAGCCTGTGCTCTAGAGCCAGCCAGCTGCTACTACTGAAGCTGGAGCACCTAGAGCCTGTGCTCTGGAACAACAGAAGTCACAGCTGGGAGAAGCTTATCTGCTGTAACTAGAGCATGTCCAGAATCACCACAGCTAGAAAAACTCCACGTGTGCAGCAGCAAAGACCCAGCCCAGCCAAAATTACATGAACAAACAAACAAATCTTTAAAAGAAATCTGCTTCACAATGTGGGGGATATCGCTTTGATCTCTGGTCAGGGAGCTAAGATCCTACATGCAGTGCAGCAACTGCTGAGACTGGGCATCATGACTAGAGTGTCTGTGCACTGCAACAAGAGATCCCATGTGACACAATGAAGTTTCCATATTCCCCGAATAAGATCTGGTGCAGCAAAATAAAAAAAGTAAATATCTATTTAAGAAATCAGCTCATCAATTTCTACAAAAATATTTGCTGGCATTTTGATGCAGTCTACAGATGAGTTTGGGGGAAACTGAGGCCTGAACAATATCTTCTCATCAGACATGATTGAAGAACATGAATGTGATACATCTCTGCATTTTTAGGTTTTCTTCAGTTTCTCCCATGGTTTTCACACACAAATTCGTGTGCGACAAATTTTTTTAAAATGTACCCTAATGTTTCATAAAGGGAAAGGAGCCTTGTGTGTCTGGATCCAACTAGGCAAAGGGTACTAGAAAGGGAAGTTATGAATCCAGAGAAGATGCAGGCTGGAGCACATAGGACCTAACAGGCCATTGAAAGGTTGTGGCTTCAATTCTGAGAGGGAGCCCACTGGAGGATTTGGAACTGAGTACAGGACCTGACAGGTTTTTAAAGCAACCTAGCAGCTTCAGTA